TGGTGGGGGCGGCGGCGGTGGTGGTCGCGGTGGTTGTCGCGGCGGTGATGGTCATGGGCGGGTTTCGCGGCATGTTCGTACTTGCATGTCGTAGGTTTTTTCAACGTGCAGGCACAGGAATCGTAGTCGTACGTCTAATGCAAACCATTCTGGCTGCAGCAAGACCCTACAAGCAAGTGGCCAGTCAGGTTTGCCCAAACCGAGACCGCTGTCCAGCCAAAGTTGTCCCATGCTGGGTTCTCGCTGCTCCCTCCTCGGCAGCTACTGGTACTAAGTCTAGAGCACGGTCATCAAGATTACTCTCAGACATTGTTGGTGGTGGTGGTAGTAGTAGTAGTGGTAGTTATAGTTTGTTACCTGGCTTCATTTGTGACAGGGAACCTGCCCCATGCTTAGCGCACCCTCTGCATTTCAGCCAATTTGCATCTCTTGCAGACGCTGTGCAGACTTCAAAGAGACTTGAACTTGATCCCAGTCTTCGTCATTACATACTGGTGGCTAGTAGGGAATGCAATCCTCAGACAGTACCCATGTAATATATTCCCTTACTCGTTACTACAGGAGAGGTTAATAAATGGGTTCAACAGGGGGGATACGCAAACGGGTTTGGTCAAACAGACAGAAAGGAGAAAGGATGAAGAGCTTCTTCGGGGGAATTTGGGAGGGCGGGGACTTTCAGAAATGCCCATAAACATTAGCAGTAGCGTCTTCTGTAGCTTAGGAAGGAGAGTGAGTCAGAGTCTTTGGGCCATCCTGCTGAGAATGAGATGGCAGGAGCATCCACGCACAGCATTTGTAGTGTAATGACATTAACGACCTGAAGACATCTTGCCGAGCTATTGCTTCATGAGAATTAGTCTACCAGCTCCGATAGGTTGCGCGGGAAGCATCTAGCCCAAGCACCCGTGGCAGGTTGGTTTGAAAGTCAGGGGTCCCCCTTTGCACTGATTGCAGACAGGTAGAAGTCTAGCAGCAGTCGTTTGAACGCTTCAGCGCTAAGGCGGCAGCTGGGCAGCTGCTGCTGAAACGAGGCAAACATCTTGAGATGCAAGCAGGGGTTTCGGCATCCAAACTCAGGCACCTGAACCTACGGTGGATAGTCACCATCGCGGCTGCCCTCATTTCAGGTTTGTGATGGCCTTGAAGTAGATTCAAAGAATAATGCGAGATAACAATCTGTTGCCTCCCACAGACACTTCCCCGGCTTTTGACTTTCCGCCTTGGCTTGGCAAACTTTGTGCAAGCTCAAGAATGGCGAAGCCCTGCTGCGTGTCACTTCCTGGGGAATGCTCCATGCATAGTTTACTCTTGCGAAGATTAGCAATATCATCTGAGACATAGTAGTTATGAAGATTGGTAATCTGCTTAAGTTTAAGACAGATACTTTCAGGATTTCGGATGACAACCCTGGCGGTGATGCAGCGCTTAACGAAGCCTGCCTCTCGCCAGATCGACAGACTATATAGTGTAATATAGTCAAATATAACATAACACAGTATAATATCGTATATGGGGGGATTGGGCTTCTGAGTTCAGGGCCGCAGCACCTTCTCAAAGCAGAGAAATCACTGGGAAGGAAACATTCGTTCTAAGACTTCCAGAAGGCAAGTTTGGGATTATAAACGGATAATGGAAAAGAAAACAGAAACTGCTATAGTAACACATCAACGCCACAATCCAAATTCCTAGCTTTACTGCAAATATCCATAGCCACCCCATACGTAACTGGCAACAAGCAATCTCGGTTTTAAGGAAGCTCACGCGCTCATACGGTGTGACTTATGTGCGCATGCAAGCTCCGCAGCTGGGGCGGTGTTGGTGCGGCGAGCTATCACGAAGCAAGCCCCAATTTGCATCCAGGTTTTCCACTACCACGCTTTCATCTTCCCCGTCTCACGCCAGGCGCATGATGCCCGCGCAGACCCCTCAAGAGCGCGCCAGAGGTGCCCATGTGAGGCAAGATCCACCGGTTATTTCTGTGTTATGCAGTAGGTAGATTACTGCAGCTATTCTAAAGGACCAGCATTGGACGTTATTTGAAAT